TATCCCTGTACTGGCCAGGTGCGGTGGCTCACGCCTGTAATCCCAGCACTTTGGGAGGCCGACGCGGGTAGATCACGAGGTCAGGAGATCGAGACCATCCTGGCTGACACAGTGAAACCCTGTCTCTACTGAAAATACAAAAAATTAGCCGGGCGTGGTGGTGGGTGCCTGCAGTCCCAGTTACTCGGGAGGCTGAGGCAGGAGAATGGCCTGAACCCGGGAGGCAGAGCTTGCAGTGAGCCAAGATCGCACCACTGTACTCCAGCCTGGGCGACAGAGCAAAACTCCATCTCAAAAACAAAAAAGAATCCCTGTACTGTAACATAAGCTTTTTATATCGCTGTGCCTGGCATGTAGTATACAGTCACATACCACATAATAACATTTCGGTCCACAGACTACATACAGGACAGTGGTCCCACAAAATTATAATGAAGCTGAAAAATTCCTATCACCTAGTGACCTCATAGCCACCGTAATGTTGTAGCAGAGCACACTATCTTTTCTATGTTTAGATACACAAATGCTAATCATCATGCTAAAATTGCCTACAGTATTCAGTACAGTAACATGCTAGATAGGTTTGTAGTCTAGAAGCAAGAGGCTATAGCATACAACCTAGGTGTGCAGTAGGTAATACCATCTAGGTTTGCATGAGTATACTCTTGGTGTTTGCATGACAATGAAAAGCCTAATGATGCATTTCTCAGAACATATTGCCATCATTAAGCGATGCATGACTGTATATTCAATGATGCTTATTTACTGAATGGATTAATGATATCACTTGAGGTATGAAGTAATGTATTTGAGAACTCCAAAAATCAAAACATTCTACAAAAATGTAAGGCATTGCCATTTTTTCTTTAAAATGCTTCCTCTTAACCTCTTAGCAGCATTTAACATAGTTGACCACTTTCTCCTTAAAACACAATCTTCTCCCGGCTTTTGAGACACCAGTTTCTTCTGGTTTTCTTCCCACCTCAAGGGCCTCTCCTCCTTATCCTCCCTCCTGGCTGTTTCTCTGCTGACTCTGACCCTGGTCCCCTTCTCGTAAGTGCCCTCACTGATGGCATTAAACACCATCTATGTGCCAGATACTTCCAAATCTGTATTTTTAGTGCTGACCTCACCCTAAAACTCCAGACTCATACATACAGCTACCTATTTGACATCTCCACAGTGATGTCTATAGACCTATTTGTTGTTTGTATTCTTGTGTGTAGTCTTTTTTCCTGTCCAAAATTAGAATCTCCTTTCAGAGTTTAGGGAGTGTCACACCACGTGAGAGGCTGCTTCTCATTTGAGAAATCTAAAAGACCAGATATTTGTTTCTCCAGCACTCCGAGCAGCTAGCCCCATGCCCTGGCTTAGTCAATCAGATGCACCCCTTAGGGACTCTGAATAGTTAGCTAATTACACAAAAAAGCAAAGCAGTGAGGAATTAATTCTGCAGGTGCTAGTGGCTGAATCCGGTGTTCTGAAGTAGCCACAGCCGTGTCCTCACCAGATAGGCTCCGCAATATGATCATACGTTCCTAGCCTTCCTATGTAACAGCCCATTTTCTGAACTTCGTAAACTTAATTTTCCCGCAGACTTTGTGAGATATCAAATATTGTTTCTGTTTTTTTGTTTGTTTTTTATTTTTGAGACAGGGTCTCACTCTTTTGCCCAGGCTGGAGTGCAGTGGTGTGATCTCGGCTCACTGCAACCTCCATCTCCCAGATTCAAGCGATCCTCCTGCCTCAGCCTCCCAAGTAGCTGGAACTACAGGTGTGCACCACCATGCCCGGCTAATTTTTGTATTTTTAGTAGAAATAGGGTTTCACCATGTTGGTCAGGCTGGTCTCGAACTCTTGACCTCAGGTAATCCACCTGCCTCAGCTTCTCAAAGTTCTGGAATTACAGGTGTGAGCCACCACACCTGGCCAAATACTGTTCTTTTTTTTGAGACAGAGTCTTGCTCTGTCACCCAGGCTGGAGTGCAGTGGCACGATCTTGACTCACTGCAACCTCCACCTCCCGGGTTCAAGCAATTCTCCTGCCTCAGCCTCCCAAGTAGCTGGGACTACAGGCGCCCGCCACCACGCCCAGCTAACTTTTTTTTTTAGTAGAGACAGGGTTTCACCATGTTGGCCAGGCTTGTCTCGAACTTCTGACCTCAAGTGATCCGCCCGCCTCAGCCTCCCCAAGTGCTGGGATTACAAGCATGAGCCACCGCGCCTGGCCCAAATATTGCTTCAATAAGCAGTTTTTCTGCTTAAATCAGCCACAGTTGGTTTCTATTGCTTACAGAACTCTAATACAATGTTTAATAGGTTTCTCAATATGTAATATAACCATTAGAAGTCTTAATTCCCCAGAAACCTACTAGTCTCCCAGTTTTTCCCACCTCAGTAAACTACCATATATCCAACTGCTCAGGTCAAAAGTCCTAGGCCATTATCTTTGATGTCACTCTTTCCTTTATTCTCCCAATGCAATCAATTAGAAAATTCAATCAACTCTAGCCCTAAAACTTGTCCCAAATATATCCACTTCTCTCCATTAGTTACTATTATCCTAGTCTAAGCTACCATTATGTCCTACCTAGACTCTTGCCTCTCTTTACATATATTCTCCATACAGTAGCCCAGGATGTTTTAAAAATACAAAGCAGACCATGTCACTTTCGTGTCTAAGCCTCCAATGGCTCTTCCCACTGAACTTAAAATCCAAACTCCTTACCCTGACTTACAAAGGCCTATGTAGTCTGATTCTTGCCTATGTCTCAGATTTCATCTCCTAACACTCTCCTGCTATGGTGCAGCCACACTGGACTTCTTTATGGTCCCTGAACATCTTCCCACTGACGTCAAGTGGGTAGCTCCTCCGTTTAGGTCTCAGCTTAATCTGATGACCCAATCTACAGTATCAACTTATCAGACCAAACTAGTTTAATTCTCTGCATAGCACTTGCTATCTGATAATATTTTGAGAGCAAGATTCCTGGCTTTTCACTACAATCTCCCTACCAATTTACAAATACGTAATATGTGTTGTTATTGTCGGCAACAACATTCATTCATTCGAAATATTTTTGAGAATTGTTACCATTGTTAACAATAAAAACATACATTATAGATGAGTAAATTGCTGTTTAGCAAAGCTAAGTTGTCCAAAGTCACACAAGTAGTTTGTCTCGAACTTCTGACCTCCCACCTCAGCCTCCCCAGTAGATGGGATTACAGGCTGGAGCCACTAAACCCAGCACTGGTAATCTGTGATAGAACTATGATTCGAACCCAAGCCTTTTGACCCTGAAGCCTGACGTCTGAAATGCTGCCCCCAACCTACTCAAATCTTGACTTCCCATTAACACCCAGCTCAGGTCATAACCCTCCATAAAGCCTTCCCTGACTATTTTATCTAAAATGAAAATAGCTCTCATACTCTGGATGTTGTAGGGGGGGAAAAGATAAAAATAAAATAGCACTGATATATTTCACATATTCTATTGACTACCTCCACTGTCAATAGCATTAGCTATTATTTCACATTATCTGATTATAACTTAAGGGATCAGCAACTTAGGTTGCTCCTTTAGTAAAAGCCACTTAGAGACTATTCTGTTGTACTGATTAGTGATTAAATTTTTAGTTTAATATTACCTTAAAAAAAAACCCAAAAAAACAGTAGTTATTTCAGAGGCTAAAGAAGTAAGTATGAACTGGCTTACTCTTCTACCATTTATCCACAGACTTTTAAGCTACTCCAATTGTGGCTTTAGTTGGGCTATATATCCTCAGGAGCCACTAAATGTCTGAAATTTCTAAGTTCTTCCAGTTGCTGTTGATTTATTCTTTTCAGTTGTGACCATCTCTGTTTTCCTCTAACCCTGTGATTGCTTCTCAGTTTCTAGTCCTTCATCTAACATAGCTGCTTCTCACTGGTAATATTTTATTTTAGAGCAGGGATCAGCAAACTGCAACTCACAGGCCAAATCCAGTCTGCCATTTATTTTCATAAAGTTTTACAGGAACACAGCCATGCTCATTTGTTTAGTATTGTCTACGACTGCTTTTGCGCTATAATAGTAGCATTGAATAGTTGCAACAGAGAACAAGTGGCCCACAAAGCCTAAAATATTTACTATCTAGCCCTTTACAAAAAACATTTGTGAAACCATAGCTTAGAGGAAACACAACTGAAACCCAGAAGGGTGAAGTTACTTGTCCAAGATCCCATAACTGGCAAGTGGCAGGGGCAGAACTATTACATTCATTATATGGACCTTATAAATTCTCAAAGTCATAGAACCTTACAACAGTTTCTCTCTACATCTCCGTAGGCTTCTTTGAGACTTTGGTAGTTGACTACCAAAGTCTCAAAGAAAGTAATAGACTGGGTGTTAATGGAAAGTCAAGATTTGAGTAGCAGTCAAGAGACCACTTAAATCTCAAAAGCAATCATCAAAAAAGCAGAGTATAACGAATCTGCAGTACTCGATGGTACTGTAGTCTTTGGTAATCAATCTTCAGGTGAGTCCTCCAGAACACTGGATATTTTGTTGGAGGAGACAAGGTCAATAACACTGGCTTTATTTAAGAGCTTCCAAACTAATACTAAACAGAATCTGACTATGCAAGAGTTCAACTTAATTACTTGAAAGAACCAGGCAGATAACAGAAGTGAATAAATCAGTCTAACATATAACATAATATAACAGAGAGTGAAAAAACCTTGGCCAAAAACTCAAAACAATACTGTAAAACCAAACAAACATAGCTGCAGACAAGAGCAGGATTTGGCATCAAGCCACCAGTTTCTACCCCTGGCCTATGTTATCGATTTCTGTAAATCTTAAAAAGCCAAAAGGTAAACTCCTAGCCTTTAAATAACAAAGTTTAAAAAGAAAAAAACCAAAAACTGATTTATTCTTTTATTAAAATTTTAAGAATAAATCATCAAATAAAACAAACCACTTGAATAAAACCTTCTTATCCCCAGGTAGCCTTACCTTCCACAACATACACCTTCGTCAAAGGAAAGTCAATACTCTTCGCCATCACTTCAATTTCTTCTTTAAGCTTTCCCTCAGGCAGAGGTGTGAACTTGTCAAATAAAGGGGCAATATAATCAGCATAGATTGTGACAAGAACCTGAAAAGCAAATGTCAGAACAACATATAAACATGTTCTTAAAGAAAAACCATTCTTTATTATACAGATTAAATTATATTAAAACAATTACGTTGACCTCAAACTTGAGAACAAGGAACTTACTTGCTCTGGTATTCCCAGGCCCAAATAGTACCAGATAGTAAGAGCATAATATCTGTCTGATGAATTAAATTGAAATGAGTAGTCTGGTAACCGAGTAAACCCATGAATTTTATTTTAGAGGATAATGCTACTAACAGTGATTAAGATCTCTAGGTGGTAATAAGTATAGTCCTTTCAAAACTATCTTGGGGATTTCCAATGCTTCATGAGCCAATCATAACACGCAGTTCTGCCTTTGAGCATAATCACAATAGACCTGAAGTCTTTCCTAAAAAAGAATTCATAGAACTTGATTATATGCTGTTACTTGGTTGGCTTATCAGCTAAAATTAATTACCTGTAGTTCATAATCGTACATTGTGGTTGAAAAAGCACTTCCTTAAGCATTTTTAGAGTATTTTCTCTGCTCTTTTTCCTCTTACTTTAATTTGCCATACAATAGATACCTGTAAATCCAACTACCGCCCATTTTCTGATCTTGATCCCATCAGTGGAAAATGAAACAATGGGCATTATGTAATTCAGACTAAAATAAACCTCAGCTGGGGCGTGGTGTAACACACCTGTAGTCCCAGCTACTCGGGAGGCTGAGGCAGGAGGATTGCTTGAGCCCAGGAGTTCAAGGCTGTAGTGCACAATGATCATGCCTGTGAAATAGCCACTGTACTCCAGCCTGGGCAACATAGGGAGGCCCTGTCTCAAAATAAAATAAAATAATAAAACAAAACAAAACAAAACAAAACAAAACAAAACAAAATAAAATAAAATAAAATAAACCTCATCATCAGTGGAGTTGAAGAGCTGATAGATGATAATTTCTGGGTGTACTGAACAGACCATTCTGGTCTTTTTCATTTGGGTTTTTAAAAAGTTATTATTTGTAGAGACACAGTCTCACTGTGTTACCTAGGCTGGTCTTAAACTCTTGGGCTTAAGTAATCCTCGCACCTTGGCTTCCCAAAGTGCTGGGGTTACAGGCATAAGACACTGTGCCTGGCCCTGAACAGACCATTCTGACTGTGTTGCAGCGTTTGTGTTGTGAAGCACTTGAGAGTATGGAAAGAGAAGAGGAATAGGAGATGTGAGGGAGGGAAGGGGGAAAAGAGTGAGAGGGAAAAGGAAAGGAGAAGAAGAGAGGCAGGAATAGGTGGCAGTTGGGGAGACAAGGGAAGACAAAGGAGAAGGAAAGGAAGAAGAATGCATAAAAGATAGAAGGGGAAGGGGAAGTAGATGGGGCAAAGAAGGCAGAGAGTGTCTAACGGGGAAGGGAAAGGCAGGGGAAGGGAAGCAGAAGAAAGCCAGTTAAATATATGTTTTCTTTCTCTTGTCCCTCTTAAATCTCATTTCTCTTCAAAATAACCATGATTTTAGGCAGTGGAAGTCAGTCAGGAGTCATTAAATTATCATACTTAGTCATTCTGGTGGCAACTCACAAATGCACAACCCAAAACTGCCTGACAACGGAATCATTAAAAGTGACTAACAACTAGTTTCTATGACCTGTAAGAGTTAGCATAAGGGCCGGGCGCGGTGGCTCAAGCCTGTAATCCCAGCACTTTGGGAGGCCGAGACGGGCGGATCACGAGGTCAGGAGATCGAGACCATCCTGGCTAACACGGTGAAACCCCGTCTCTACTAAAAATACAAAAAACTAGCCGGGCGAGGTGGCGGGCGCCTGTAGTCCCAGCCTCCGGGAGGCTGAGGCCGGAGAATGGCGTGAACCCAGGAGGCGGAGCTTGCAGTGAGCTGAGATCCGGCCACGGCACTCCAACCTGGGCGGCAGAGCGAGACTCCGCCTCAAAAAAAAAAAAAAAAAAAAAGAGTTAGCATAAGAAGAAGGAAATTTATGGTCAGTCAATACTCCTGTTTCTATAATCAAAAGCAGAAACCAAAGGGGAAATGTATATAAGCACCTATTTATATTTCAGCTGCTTCTTAAGAACTATTTACATGCCAATGAAGATTACAGTAATCTCACCAAGGAACTTTTGTAAAGAAAATGAAATAAAGATTTTACTCACCAGAGACACAACTAATGTAAACAGCCAGGCATAAATAAAAAAATAGTCACCCCCAATTTTAATAATGTAAAGTAGAAGTGAAGACACAGGCAACAAAATACACTGAGTCACAACAAATTTCTTGATTGCATCTTTCATGAAGAACCCCAAAGTCTGCAAAAAGAAAACATTACCACAAGAAACTGAGAAACTGGTTTTGCTTTTTAAATAACTAATAAATAACTACAAAGGATACATTATTAAAGCAATTTTTTAAATTAACATGCAGTGAAACTATATTATATGACATTAGACAGCTTAAGACAATGAGTAAATGTCCTGCATCTTACAGGTGAAAATTCATTTAAACATTATTAACTGAGGACGAGTGCAGTGGCTCACGACTATAATTCCACCACTTTGGGAGGCCTAGATGGGAGGATTGCTTGAGTCCAGTAGTTCCAGACCAGCCTGGGCAACATAGTGAGACCCTGTCACTAAAAATTAAAAAAAAAAAAAAAAAAAATTAACCCAGTGTAGTGTAATTCATCTATAGTCCCAGATACTAGGGAGGCTGAGGTGGGAGGATTGCTTGAGTCTGGAAGGTTGTAGCTACAGTGAGCCATGATCCTGCCACTGCACTCCAGCCTAGGCAACAGAACGAGACCCTGTCACAAACAAACAAATGATTATCAGTAGCTGAAAAACAACAGACATTAGTGCTAAAAGAGTTTATAACATAAATTTCTTTTTTTTTTTTTTAAGAGACAGGGTCTGGCTCTGTTGCCCAGGTTGGAGTATAGTGGCACAATGATGGCTCACCGTAGCCGCAACCTCCTGGGCTCAAGTAATCCTTCTGCTTTAGCCTCCCAAGTAGCTGGGACTACAGGTGCACGCCACCACAACTGGCTAACTTTTAGAATTTTTTTGTAGAGATGAAGTCTCACTATACTGCCCAAGCTGGTCTTGAACTCCTGAGCTCAAGTGATCCTCCCGTCTTAGCCTCCCCAAAGTGTTGGGATTACAGGTGTGAGCCACTCTACCCAGTCGAGGCTTTCTTTTTTTTTTTTTGAGATGGAGTCTTGCTCTGTCACCCAGGCTGGAGTACAGTGGCGAGATCTCAGCTCACTGCAAGCTCCGCCTCCCGGGTTCACGCCATTCTCCTGCCTCAGCCTCCTGAGTAGCTGGGACTACAGGCGCCCGCCACCATGCTCAGATAATTTTTTGTATTTTCAGTAGAGACGGGGTTTCACGGGGTTAGCCAGGATGGCCTCAATCTCCTGACCTTGTGATCCGCCCGCCTTGGCCTCCCAAAGTGCTGGGATTACAGGCATGAGCCACTGCACCTGGCCTAAGTTTTTTTTCTTTTTATTTTTTTAATCAACGTTGACCAGGTTGGCCTTGAACGTGTAGCCTCGCCTCCCTGAGTGCCAGGGCAACTGGCCTGAGCCACCGTGGCTCCCAAGACTTTCAGCTATGATCTTTACCATATCTGCAGTTTCGTTTTTTCTCAATTCATACTCTGAAATAGTAAATTATGTTTAAATTATAAACAGTACAGGATAAAAGCACAGAAGTTTTTCACATTTAAAAGAGAACATTTGTTATTCTTTACTATACCTGTTGATTGAAACCATGTTTTTCTTCTATCACAAAAGTATTATAAAGACTCCATGGCAAACCAGTCAATGCACTGAAAAGTGTAGCCAACAGCAGAAACACCAGGGACTGAATGATCTAAGCAAAAGAAAAAACAAAAATCTAGTTTTTATGAACTACTAGCAAACAAATCAACAAGTATTTGCTGAGCACTTACTACATCCCAAGCAATATGCTTGATTCTACGGATAATACAAGCTCTGAAACATCATCCCTGCCTTCAGAAAAGTTTACTTTTGAGAGAAGTAAACGAGAAACAAAACAAATCCTTTTCTACTACACAGGCACTATATGAAAGGTACCTTAAATCATATAGACAAATCCCTAAGATAAAGAGCCTGGATTGTTGGCTTACCACATGGAAGAAAGTCACCTGATAACTAAAAATACTCACACTGGACTATTATGTGATTGAGAAATAAACCATTGCAAATAAGCCTGTGATATTCTGGGATTTGTTATCATAACTAATGTTATGCCAATACAGCATGGGTAACCAAGGACTATGCAGACAGAGAGGCAAATCTAACATTGGCAGAAGCCAAAAAATTGACTTTAGTAGAAAGCCTGCCAAGCCAAAAGAAATACCATGACAAATATATGCTAATAATCACATACCTCATATTCTGGTCCAAAGCCAGCATAATCACAGAACCGTCCAGAAAGTCTCCAGAGATAAGGTATTCCTCCAAAGAGAAGAATAAGCTATAAAACAAAGCATACTTTGATCGCAGTTGAACAGTACTAGAAACTATCATATGAGAAAGCATGGTATAAAGAAAGAAAGGACAAAATAATAATCTATTAAAAAAAAAAAGAGGCCAGTACCATGGCTCATGCCTGTAATCCCAGCACTTTGGGAGACTGAGGCAGGAGGATGGCTTGAGGCCAGCAATTCAAGACCAGCCTGGGCACCAAGGTGAGTTGAGACCCCATCTCTACAAAAAATTTAAAAATTAGCTGGGCCTGATAGTACCTGTAGACCCAGCTACTTGGGGGGCTGAGGTGAGAGGATTGCCTGAGCCTAGGAAGTCAAGGCTGCAGTGAGCTGTGATCGTGACACTGCACTCCAGCAAGGCAATAAAGTGAGACCCTGTCTCAAATAAAATAAAATAAACAAAATAAAATTAATTTTTTAAAAAATAGACCTATTTAACATTTAGCATAATTTATGCATGTAGATGAGTACAAACCACTGAGATACTAAATTTAGGCAGTTAAAATAACATTTTTGTCTGTACACTATATACGGATGAATTGTATGGTACATTAATTACCTTAATAAAGCTTTTCTAAAACAAAACAAAACAAAAACACACTTCTCAAAAGACCACAACAAAATCACAAACTAAACTTGGAAAGGTTAAACAGCCGGGTGTGGTAGCATATGCCTGTAATCCCAGCATTTCGGGAGGCCAAGGCAGGCAGATTGCTTGTGTTCAGGAATTTGAGACCCAGCCTGGACAACATGGTGAAACCTGTCTCTACAAAAAATACAAAAATGAGCCGATTATGGTGGCATGATTCTGTGGTCCTAGCTACTTGGGGGAGCTGAGGTAGGAGGATTGCTTGAGCCTGGGAGGTCGAGGCTGCAGTGAGCCATGATCATGCCTGCACTCCAGCCTGGGTGACAGAATGAGACCCTGTCTCAAAAACAAACAACAACAACAACAACAACAACGAAGTTCGAAATCCAAAAGCTAATGAGTGATAGAAATGGAATTTGAACCATGTTAATATGGCTCCATAATTGTCTTTTCTGTGAAAGAAAATAGTCCTCTTCCATCAGGACAAAGCACAGAAGTAGAGAGTCATGTCCACTTACTAAACTGGGGAACAGAATGGGATTATCTGTGTCTTTGCTGGGTCAGGAAGAGGCGAGGTAGGGGCCAGGCTTTCACAGGAGAAGTCTCTTCCTCAGCACCACCCTTTGTCTTGGTCTTGGGCAGATAAAGTGAACACAGACATTCACCAAATAACCAGGACATTAGGAGCTAGGAAGCAGCTCAAAATTTGAAAAGAATGCATGTTTAAGAAATTCTACTGCCCGAAACACATACAACTTTGTGGGACTCATTTGTCAAGAGGAATCAATTTATTTTTTCTCTCTACAGGACAGGACCTTAGGAGCACAATGATCAATCACATTCCTTGACTGGAAGCACAATATTCCTATTGGTTCAGACATAGTTCCTCATGGTTTCAGGGGTTTTGGTACTATCGTATTTCATGGGTATCCTTCCAATCTAATTCCCATTTTCATATATGTATCTACAAATAATATAGTGATTTATGTATGCTTTTAAAGAACGTATATAAATGACATCACATTGTACTTATCAGTCTACAATTTGCTTTTTATACTCTAAATTTTCTTAGATCCATCCATGGTAGACTTCAACTTTATTTGGTATTATCAGGATATTTCCTAAAGTGTTTATAACAAATTACACTCCCATCAGCAGTACTTGAGTGTTTCTGTTTTCCCACAATCTCACCCACACTTTACTCATCTTTTAGACTGTTAGCAGTACATTGGATTGGTTTAATATCATGGGTCTCAAATATGGTCTCTGGACAGTAGCAACAGCATCTGGGAATTTCACAGCAATGCAAAGTCTCAGGCCCTACCCCAGATGTACCAAATCAGAAGCTGGAAGTGGGACCCAGCAGTTTCTAGGTAAACCTGATGTATACTAAAGTTTGAAAATCATTGCGTTAATAAATTGTTTTCTTTTTTTAAGAGACAGAGTCTCACTCTGTCACTCAGGCTGGGGAGCAGTGTTATAACCATAGCTTACTGTATTTTTTAACTCCTGGGTTCAAAGGCTCTTCCCATGTCAGCCTCCCAAGTAGCCAAGACTATAGGTATGCGCCACCATACTTGGCTAATTTTAATTTTTTGTACAGATAGGGTATCTCTATGTTGCCCAGGCTGGCCTCAAGCAGTCCTCTCACTGTGGCCTCCCAAAGTGCTGGGACTATAGGCGTGAGCTACTGCACTCAGCCCCAATAAACTGCTTTTCAAAAGGCTCCCCTAACACTACCTCCAGGTATTTCCACTTTACTACAACTAACTCAACCTTAGACATAAACCTTGTTTTCCCAAAAGACACCACTGTCTGACATATGCCCTAGTTGTTGAAGTAATTGACCTGGGATGGTATTTCTTTCAGCCAATTCCCAACACTAATAAATAATGTATAATTGGCCGGGCACGGTGGCTCACGCCTGTAATCCCAGCACTTTGGGAGGCCGAGGCGGGTGGATCATGAGGTCAGGAGATCGAGACCATCCTGACTAACACAGTGAAACCCCATGTCTACTAAAAATACAAAATATTAGCCGGGCGTGATGGCAGGCGCCTGTAGTCCCAGCTACTCAGGAGGCTGAGGCAGGAGAATGGTGTGAACCCAGGAGGTGGAGCTTGCAGTGAGCCGAGATTGCACCACTGCACTCCAGCCTGGGCAACAGAGCGAGACTCTGTCTCAAAAAAAAAAATTAAATTAAAAAAATAATAATAATGTATAATTAAGGACTTATAATGCTTTTAGTAAAGGCTAGAGCAACTATTACTAAAAGTCCAGTATTTAAATGAGCATTAAGGATAGTTTTAATGTGAATTTTGAATGATCTATAAATGCATTTGAAAATCGATACTGCAAACCTTGTTTAGTTTCTTCTGGGGACTGAAAAACAAAGCATGGTGAACTGTACAATGTCTCTATGTTGATAATTTCACTAAGTATGCTCCCAGGGTTGTTCTATGGCAAAATTAATGATCCCAGAAAAAATAATTCCAGTGCTTTGACATATATTATTTCACTACTTTTTTTTTTTTTTTGAGACAGGATCTTACTCTGTCACCAGGTGGGGTACAGTGGTGTGATCACAGCTCACTGCAGCCTCGACCTCCTGGGCTCCAGTAACCCTCCCACCTCAGCCTCCAGGGAGCTGGAACTGCAGGTGCACATCACCACACTCAGCTGATTTTTAAAAAAATTTTTTTGCAGAGATGGGGTATCACTATGTTTCCCAGGCTGGTCTCCAACTCTTGGGCTCAAGTGATCCTCCCACCTGAGCCTCTCAAAATGCTATGATTACAGGATTGAGTCATCATGCCTGGCTTCACTACTACAGTCTTGAAAAGCAGGCAGGGAAAAGGGTATAATCATCTCTATTTAATAGATGAGGCAACTGAAACTCTTTAACTGAAAGGTCACTTTAACTGAGAGGTTAAAGTAACTTAGCCAAAGAAACCCAATGACTAAGTAATTCCTGTGCATTGAGCTTCATTTACATTACCTCACTCACTTAGTCCTTGCCACAAACCATACAAGGTATGGCTTAACATCCACAAACTTCTCATTTTATTTTCGTTTATTTTTGAGATGGAGTCTCGCTCTATCACCCACGCTGGAGTACAGTGGTACAATCTCAGCTCACTGCAACCTCCACCTCCTGGGTTCAAGCAATTCTCGTGTCTCAGCCTGCTGAGTAGCTGGGATTACAGGCATGTGCCAAAAGGCCAGGCTAATTTTTGTATTTTTAGTAGAGACAGGGTTTTGCCATGTTGGTCAGGCTGGTCTCAAACTCCTGACCTCAGGTGATCCGCCCCACCTCGGCCTCTCAGAGTGCTGGGAATACAGGCGTGAGCCACTGTACCCAGCCCACTTCTTATTTTAAGGATGAGAAAACTTAGGCTCAAGAAGGTGAAACTGCTCACATAGAAACATGCAAAAATTACAGAAGCAACAATTTAAACTTTTCAACTCTGCCCTACTCTGCTCCCCAACCACTCCATTTCTTCAGTGAGCCCTTTATTGATATCTGTGAGATACTAGAGAAAGTGTCTCAGAGAGGCTGAACATTTTCTGTCTGGATGCAATGTCATATTTATGTGAACAGTGGCAACCATAACTGGCCACGCAAGGACTCTATTTAGGTTCTATCAAGTAGAAAGTACTATGGCAAAAAAAAAAAAAAAAGTCGAAACTAATCTTCTCACTTGATCTTTGTGATCAAAACATACAAACCGATTAATTTTAATCAAATAGAAATTAATGAACTTGTTTCCAAACAAAACAAGGTTTCAAAGTTACCCAAAATACTCTTCCTGCCAAGCCTAAATGCAGCCACAAAATCCCCAGAGATAAATTTAGCACATTCATGTTGCAGTCTTCAGAGTTTCAAGAATGGTTTTTTCAATGTCATTTTAAAGACTCGGAAGAACAGAGTTTGAAACCCAGTTATACTACTTATTAGCATGTCCCCTGGCCATTAAACATGCAAGCCCTTTAATTTATCCAAGCCTTTGCTTCCTCATCCATAAAAAGGGAATAATAATGCCTATCCTTTCTACTTCACTGTTGTAAACATCAAATAATAAATATAAAAACTATGTATGAAGTGAAAATCATGACAACTATTACTGTTCCCAACCTTAGCCCATCAGTACTGCTTCTAGTTTGAGCCACAGTACATTACAAAGCTCTCACTTTATATACGTATTCTCCCTATTTCTGTTATCTCCTAGAACAAATAGTCACCAACCATAATTACCAAGCTACTGTCTATCTTTTCTGGCACTATTTACCAGGGACAACCAAGGAGATTGAAAATGCTTTTCCTATCATTTTACTATGGCCCTGTAGGGGGTAAAGTCAAAGGACTTCCAAGAAGCAAACATCAGAAAGAGAATAGTGTCTATCTCATCTAATTGCCTTGTCATCATTAAACAGAGAATTCAGACCTTTCGGAGATGAAGAAAAATATGGGAGCTATTAATCAGTATAGAACAAGAACTCTCAGTATTACTTCTTCAGGTAGTGTTGTAAGCTGTTCAACAATTCCTCTGAAACTGGTGAAACAGAAGGGGAAATGTCAGTTGACAAAACAGCAAAACTCAGCTGTCAGACATCGACTGCAGAAAGGAGAGGCAAATACACTTACCAAGCAATGGAGGGAAAACATGCAAAATATTAAATCAAGTTTGGAAGCAGCTAGCTTTTGGGGAGAATAATACATTTAAGATCTTGGATATGCTTAATGTATTTTTTCAAGTTACTATAATTCTTTTTTGAGCTCCCATTAGTCTTTTTTGGACCAAGGCCATTATATAAATACATAAGTAAACTCTCATCTATTAAAAAAAAAAAAAAGAAACACTAGTGTCTAAATTAACCACTTCTACTTCCATCTGTCTCTGAAGGATGATTTCCTACTTGTGACCTGTCCCTAACAGAAGAAATGATCAGATAAATTAACTAAAGCCAAGTCATTATTGAAAAGATTACTTAACAGCAATAGCTGTGTATCCCCAAAGCCAATGAGATTTTGTTTTCCAAATCATTTATTAATTTTTCTAAATACCAAAATTTAACTCTTCTAGAAGCATTGCCATTTTCCATCGCCCTGAAGAAATAAGCAGTTTCTAATAATTTGGATCTAACCACACTAGTCTTATTATTCCATACTTGTTAAGAAAAATTTTGTGATGAGCTAGACAATTCTTTCATTTAACACAGCTACATAAAGCCAGTTTCTTTAACTCACGAAACAATGATGGTATCTGATCATAATTCTTTTAAATTTAGGAATCTTTCTCTTAGTGGTACTAGTGGATCTAAAAGTTCTAGAGAAATGATGATGATGATGATGATCAGGATGATAAAAATAATAAAAGTGGCAGGGCACAGTGGCTCATGACTGTAATCCCAGCACTTTGGGAGGACGAGGAAGGCAGATCACGAGGTCAGGAGATTGAGATCATCCTGGCTAACACAGTGAAACTCCATCTCTACTAAAAATACAAAAAAATTAGCCAGGCGTGGTGGTACATGCCTGTAGTCCCAGCTACTCAGGAGGCTAAGGAAGGAGAATCGCTTGAACCCGGAAAGCGGAGGTTGCAGTGAGCCAAGATCGTGCCACTGCACTCCAGTCTGGGTGACAGAGCAAGACAAAAACAAAAACAAAACAAAACAAAAAAGCAACAACAAAAAGAAACCCCACATTATTTCATTCAGTAAATAGGAACTACATGCTGATTACATGCCATGCACTAGGTATAAAATGATGAACAAGACCTTAAAGTACTATTTCTTTAAGGAACTACCAGTCTGCCAATTAAACAGTCAAATCAGGCCAGGCACAGTGGCTCATGCCTGTAATCCCAGCACTTTGAGAGGGTGTGGTGGCATGCAACTGTAGTCCCAGCTACTCAAGAGGCTAAGATGGGAGGATCATTTGCGCCTGGGAAGCAGAGGTTGCAGTGAGCCAAGATCACGCTACTGTACTTCAGCCTGGGTGACAGAGCGAGACCGTGCCAGAAGAAAAAAAAAAATCCAGGCAAATTCAACATAATGCGGTAAGTACTCTGACAGGAATAATGATAGGATGCTACCCTACCCACATTCATCAGGTAGGGAGTTTCAATTGGTTTCTTGGAAGACATGACATCTCAGCTGGATCCTAATGGAAGAGGATCTTTTTTCTACCTGGCTTCAGGGTAATAGTTCTCATATTCTGTAGTTTTAAACTGACTAAGCAGTTATGTTTCTGTTTTTTTTGCTCCACAGCCATTACTACCAATAACAAAGGTTAAGAAAGCATGCTGGGACTTGTAAGTGTGGCACCCTCTTTTGTGTTACAAAAATATGAAAATGAAAACAACCATTATGAAGTATTAAACAATTTGACAGACTGTCTCTCCAAGAAGTAAATTACTCACAGTGCCTTCAATCTCTGAATAGAGTCCTGACCAGAAGCTGAAAGTGCTTTTATCCAGTTGATACAGTCGAGATTTCTCAAATGTTTCAGAATCCATGATCTGTCCTAATTCTGGTGGTACATGAGTTGTTGTTTTATATATTCTTCTCTGAAATATTTTAAAGAAAACAAGTGAAACAGTCAATTATTACAATAGTCATTTATGATCAAACACTGAATGGTTTATGGCTTGCCACTTATTTCTGTTGAATTTGCTTTATACCTACACAAATATTGCACTTGATCAAATACATTAACCACTGAAATGACTGATGCAGGAAAATAAAAGCAGAACAAGAGAACCTGAGGTTAGCTGACTGGTAAAACTATAATCAGGGTTGTCACCACACTTCAGTTTGTATATGTAAACCAAAGTTGTAACATCACAACTTTGTAACACGCACTACTCATTCTAGGTTTACATACCTCCTATAATACGGAAAACAAACTCATGGAAAGGAGAAGCACACATGCTAACCGTGAGTATGAACAGATACTGAGGCTGCTCATTAAATTTGGTCCTAAATGCCAGAAACTTGAGGAGTACCAGATGGAAACATATCAGGTCTGTGAGAAAAGAGCAACTTTCAGTCAGGCACGCTGGGTCACGCCTGTAATCCCAGCACTTTAGAAGGCACGGGCAGGATTCCTTGAGCCCAGGATTTCGAGACTGGCCTGAGCAATGTGGTGAAATCCCGTCTCTACAAAAAATACAAAAATTAGCAGAGTGTGGTGGTGTGCACCTGTGGTCCCAGCTACTTGGGAGGCTGAGGTGGGAGGATCACCTGAGCCTGGGAGGCAGAGGTTGCAGTAAGCCCATATTGTGCCACAGCACTACACCCTGGGTGACAGAGACTCTATCTCTTTAGGAGAAAGATCAACTTTCTCATTATACTAAATTCTAAAAGGTAAGGGTAATTTCAGTTCAGGAAATGTAATACAGAGAATGGATACCAAACAAAATAATGGGCCACTACAACATGCTTTCCCTATATATTGTTGTGTGCCAATAAAAGCTGAGGGCAGGTAGAGCACGGTGGCTCACGCCTGTAATCCCAGCCCTTTGGGAGGTCGAGGCAGCAGGATGACTTGAGTCCAGGAACTCCACACCAGCCCGGGCAACAGCTCTATAAACAATCAAAAAATTAGCCGGGTACAGTAAGCCACACCTGTGGTCCTAGCTACTCAGAAGGCTGAGGTAGAGGTGGAGGGGTCGTTTGAGCCCAGGAGTTCGAGGCTGCCGTGAGCTATGATGATGCTATTGCTCTTGAGCCTGGGTGGCAGAGTGAGCCCCTGTCTCTGAATAAAATAAATAAATATTCTATCCTGGCCAAGATGGTGAAACCCCATCTCTACTAAAAATACAAAAATTAGCTGGGCATGGTGGCACGTGCCTGTAATCCCAGCTACTCGGGATGCTGAGGCAGGAGAATCACTTGAACCAGTGAGCCGAGATCGCGCCACTGTACTCCAGCCTGGCGACAGAGCTAGACTCCGTCTAAAATGAAATAAATAAATAAAGATTAAAAATAAACAAATAAAAGTTCAGATCTCTAATTCATGGTTATCTCAGGTAAATTTTTTTTTTTTTTTTTTTTGGGCGGAGTCTCGCTCTGTCACCCAGGCTGGAGTGCAGTGGCGCAATCTCGGCTCACTGCAAGCTCCGCCTCCCGGGTTCACGCCATTCTCCTGCCTCAGCCTCCTGAGTAGCTGGACTACAGGCACCCGCCACCGCGCCCGGCTAATTTTTTGTATTTTTGGTAGAGATGGGGTTTCACCGTGTTAGCCAGGATGGTCTCGATCTCCTGACCTCGTGATCCGCCAGTCTCGGCCTCCCAAAGTGCTGGGATTACAGGCATGAGCCACCGTGCCCGGCTGTAAATTGTTAACTTTCACTTTCTATTTTACCATTTTAATACTTTAAACTAAAATGATGATTTTATAGAAAATGAGAAATATATATATATTTTTAATTTTTTTTTTTTTGAGACCGAGTTTCACTCTTGTCACCCAGGTTGGAGTGCAGTGGTGCAATCTCTCAGCTCAAGCGATTCGCCTGCCTCAGCCTCCCAAATAGCTGGGACTACAGGTGCACACCACCACACCCAGCTAATTTTTCTATTTTTAGTAGAGAGGGGTTTTCGCCACGTTGGTCAGCCTTGTCTTGAACTCCTGACCTCAGGTGATCCACCTGCCTCGCGGCCTCCCAAAGTGCTGGGATTACAGGCATGAGATACCGCGCCCAGTCCGATAAGTTTTGTTTTGTTTTGTTTTCAGCAGAAATAATATATGCTCTTTAAGGGCGCAAGTTCTTGGAAGGACTGCAAAATCCTGTGGTTAGGCATGATTACATAAATGTCATGAGGAAGTTGGGTGTCTAAATCCTTTTGAAGGCTTATTCCACAGATAAAGGAGGCCAAGTCTGGGCCCAAGGATCCCAAGGAAGCTGCAGGGAGGGCACAAGAGCCCAAGCCTTCCTCCAGGCCCTAGCGGGATTAGGTCCCATGATAACGTTACAGAAAACTTCCTTGACGCACCAAGATCCCCCTCAAAGTCACAGCCCGCCATCGGGCCAAGTTACGAGACTCAGCAGGGACCACAGAGACAAGACTGGCGCAGGGACTGGAGCAATCAAGAGTCTCAGGGTCGAAGTCAAGGCTAGTCCAGGGCTGGCCGGGTGTGGGGGTCAGGTTGGACCCTGTCTAGGCTCACCTGCCGCTGTGCTAGGAAGGTCTCCCAAAGATACACTGTCCAGGAGAAGAGCAGCACCGCTCCGAAGATACGCTTTTCGGCCGGTATCTCCCACAAAGCGTCCAGCGATACCCACATCCCCATGGCCACCCGGTTCCGCCGGCTCCTTCAGCGTGCACCGGTGCCACACCGACACTCGTCCCCTCAGAGCGTCCCCGCGGTGTCACAGCGATATCCGTTCTTTCCGAGGGCCCCTATTCCGATACCCGCCCCCATCCCTCCCTCTGCGCGCTGCTGGCAGTGTCACAGACACACTCTTCCCTTTGCAGACTCTACCCAGTCCCTCCTAGTTTCTACAGAAAAAGCCCCAGCCCCACCTTCCTCACTTCCGGCCCAAAGAGGGCGGGGACCCAGACGCCAAGTTCCCGGACCTGCTGAGCTGTGTTGCATCAACATTCTTCCCCCACCTCTTGACGCTGGGTTCCGGTCTAGGGTTCTGGCTTTCCTCCTGGGCCCGTGAACGCGGCGATGTTCTTCGCTTTCTAATCTCCAGAGCCGCAGTTCCATCCCCCTGGGTCAGCGGCTTACCTTGACTGGGCTGCAGTATCTGCCCTCCTTCCCCCAACAAGGCGACAGGTAGTCGGGGCTGGGGCCGGACTGAGTGGACCGCGGCTCCCGCCTGAGGTGGCTTGGAAGGACGCGACAGCAGCCGATTTCCCAGTCTCTAAAAATCGTGCCTCTGAATTACAGCTAACTCAAAAGCGAGACCAGGCATTAGAAATGGCGCCCTCGGCCAGTATTGGGGTGTTCGGAATTCAAGCGTATGAGAGAATTCAAGCGTTTGAAAATCTCGTCTCAACCACCCCAAGTGTAGTCAGAGGCGGCGTTTTCCCTGCGAGAGTGCCCTGGAACAAAGCAAGGATCTCGTGGGTTAGACATACCTGAAATGAAAGCGTCTTACTTTAGGGCACAAATTTGCATCAGTAAGGCGCAATGCCATTTCTCTCTTGGAATTCAGAAGTGAAATATGGTGACTGGGACACCTGTACATTTCTTTGACTTAAAAAGTGAAGTCAATTATTCTGACCGAAAGTTAATCTGATGATTAATTGGTTAAACATACTATCGTTGCTAATTAGCATAATTATTATTTACAATAAAGTGAGCTAAATAGCTACAACTAAAATATATTTAAATTACTGTGATATTGTGATGCTAAAGATGTATTGAAATTAATATCTTGAATTTCTCAACCCTGCCTAAATGCCTCTGAGAGTAATTAGTATAATTAAAAGTCACTAGAGAAAGTGGATGACTCTAATAACAGGATAACAAATTCTTTTCAAGTCAGATGGTTTTCAGTTCTTTGCTTTCAACAAAATTAATGGTGGCCCTATTGAATTGTCAGCTGATGAAGGAACACTGTTTGGTTTTTGGCATGCAACTCAGAAAGAAACCAAACGATTGATTGACATTCTTACAACAAAACTACTAGCATTCTCACCTATTTGTTTATGTAAAACCATTTCTCAGCACTTGTATCTGTGAAAACAACAGAATTGAAACTGAACCCTGTTAATCCATCAGTAGGAAGTATTCATCCAGATAAATGAATTAATTGGTGGGTCAGCCCCATCTATCTGACTAAGAGATGTGTTCCCAATAGAATTTCACCTTTTATAACTACGTATTATCAATATTTGTAATCGTGTCATTTTGATCCATTATATACTAAAGATTATTGTGATGATTACTCGCTTCAGAAGAATTCCAGTGTAGAGCCATAAAGTTACAGGAAATTTTTTTAAAGTTTACTACATGTCGTATTTTTATTGCCAAGAAGTGATCAATAAAAGGTTGTTCAGACATCAAAGTATTACATTTGAATAACATTTTTTTGTTAGAGTACAATCTAAATATGTTAGAGATAATAAAAGAACAATGTTGAAGAGCTCATTAGTGTATGTTTTAATGGATAATGTGGTTATTCAGTTATATAGATTCTCTTGGATACATTATAAAGAGTGATTTAACAGTTTTTAAAATTCTTTATCTTGAAAAGTTGCAATGATTTAACAGTTTTATCTTAAAATGTCAGTATTTATAATTTGCAAGAATTTACATCAATTGCAACTATTTGAATTTATGATGAAACCTGTTAGATACCAACTTAAAAATATGAGGGGTAAACACTTTTTCAAAATTTTCTCTCCCTCAGGCCATCATTGCTATGCCCTCTTCACTCTTGTCTTCAGCTGTCTTTGAGTCCAAAGCCTCACAGGAGCTTCTACCACCCAAGTTTTGTGGCTAAGGGCACAGGTTTAGAGTCAAGCTGCTTGATTGCCAGCCATGGCTGCACCATGTATTAGCAAGTTATTTAATCTGTCTGTGCATCAGATCCTCCTCAGTAACATGAGAATAACATAGTATGTACTTACTTTCTTGTATTGTTAAGATCAAATGAGAAAATTCATGTAAAGCTCCTAGCAATGTAGATGGCTCTGAGTGCCCAATAAAGGTTAGCTACTGCTTGGGAGGGGGGCATCATAGCATTGATCGGTCACCATGTGTCTGAAGAGATAGGAGAGTAGGAGGCCCAGGTTTCAAAAAGCCAAGACTGACTGGAATTCATTCATTCAATCAATACTGAATGTCTGTGAAATGCCAGACGCATTTCCAGGTGCCACGGATATAGCAGTGAACCAAAGCTCCTCTCCGTGTTAGCCAGGATGGTCTTGACCTCCTGACCTTGTGATCCGCCCGCCTTGGCCTCCCAAAGTGCTGGGATTACAGGCGTGAACCACCATGCCCACCCCCTACTTTTTATTATATTTAGTCTAACCTTGTCATCATGGACCTCAAGGCCATACACCTGACCACCCTCCCGTCTCTTTCTACAGCCTTAGATTCCAGCTCAGCTATCCTCTCCCCTCTATGGCAGCTTATGGTCTCCAGCCTGCTGAGTGTACACCACAATCCTAGAGACATTTTAAACTACCACTGTATCCCACTTTACCCCACCATACATACAAGTAGAGTTCAGCGCTACTAAATAGAGAGCCAGTTTTTGCAGGGTAATTTCAATAGAGTTCTCTATCTTTATTGATACACCACTGCACACATGAGGGAAACAGTGCTTTTCTGGAAAAGATTGGAGTCCATCACATTTCAAATGGGGAAGTAAACCCTGATGTGGGCAAGGGACTCTGGCAGTCAGAGCAGCTGCAGTAGGGCTCAGAGGAACAATCCCTCTTCGTGGCAGGTTTTTGAGCAATGATTATCCCTTCTAGGTCCTTCACTTTGTTTTCCACTGTCAGAAGTTTTTTCAAAATTTTCTCTTGCAGACCCAAGGACAGGAAGATATTATTATTGTCTTGAATTCGGAGACCACTTCCTTCTGGGTTGGCTAGCAAAGCCTGAAAAATAGCTGAGCCCTTCTTGTAAAGTTTGTAGAGTGTGATTATAAACAACAACGTTTTCTAAAATGGAACAACAGAAGTTGAATGTTAGTTGCTACAGTTTACTATCTATAAGAGAAAAACAAAACAAAAATGTAATAGTACCAATAATTCCTCATTCCAATAACAAGTCTCCCATTTAGCAAAGTATTTTCACATCTGTTTCATCTTTTGATTTTCACTGCAAACCACAGGTAGGCAGGTCAGGCAGGACTATTATTTGGATTTAATCAGGATTGTAATCATAGATAACCATTTTCTGAATGTGTGGAAGTTACTTTGCCTATGCATGACCTATTTATGCAGAAAAAACAGAACTGGATAACTATATACCTTCCAGTTTGAACTCTGTCATTCACCAAGGTTATATATTGGAAGTGGTAGAGCCAGGACAACAATCCAGAAATTTACACCTCCAAGTACACTTTAGGACATAGTAGTCTGAAAAACTGGATTTCTTGGTCATAGAAAAGGTTCTTAAAATATACTAGGAGATGGCCGGGCGCGGTGGCTCAAGCCTGCAATCCCAGCACTTTGGGAGGTTGAGACGGGCGGATCACGAGGTCAGATCGAGACCATCCTGGCTAACACGGTGAAACCCCGTCTCTACTAAAAAGAATACAAAAAACTAGCCGGGCGCGGTGGCGGGTGCCTGTAGTCCCAGCTACTCGGGAGGCTGAGGCAGGAGAATGACGTGAACCCGGGAGGCGGAGCTTGCAGTGAGCCCAGATTGCGCCACTGCACTCCAGCCTGGGTGACAGAGCGAGACTCCGTCTCAAAAAAAAAAAAAAAAAAAAAAAAATATATATATATATATACACACACACACACACACACACATACTAGGAGAGATCTGGGTACAATGGCACACACATGTAGTCCCAGCTACTAGGAAGGGTGAGGTGAGAGGATCACTTGAGCCCAGGAGTAGTGTGCTATGATGGCACCTGTGAATGGCTACTGCACTCCAGCCTGGGCAACATAGCCAGACCCTGTCTCTTAAACAAATTTTATATATATATTTTATTTATATAAAATAAATTTTAGGTGTGAACCACTGCATCCAGCACTTTGAGAGGCTGAGATGGGAGGATTGCTTGAGGCCAGGAGTTAAAGACCAGCCTGAGCAACATAGCGAATGTAGCGAGACCCTGTCTTTACAAAAAAGTTTTAAAAATTAGCCAAGCCTGGTGGTGCAGGCCTATGGTTCCAGCTGCTCAGGAGGCTGAGGCAGGAGGATCACCTGAGACCAGGAGTTTGAGGCTGCAGTGAGCTATGATGACACCACTGCACTCTAGCCTGGGTGACAGAGCAAGACACTGCCGTCTCTAAAACATAAAAAAGAAATTAAAAAAAAAAAAGCATATGCCAGGCACGGTGACTCATGCCTGTAATCCTAGCACTTTGCGAGGGCGACGTGGGCGGATCACCTGAGGTCAGGAGTTCAATACCAGCCTGGCCAACATGGTGAAACTCGGTCTCTACTTAAAATACAAAAAATTAGCTGGGCATGGTGGTACGCGCCTGTAATCCCAGCTACTCAGGAGGCTGAGGCAGGAAAATTGCTTGAACCTGGGAGGCAAAGGTTGCAGTGATCTGAGATTGCGCCATTGCACTCCAGACTGGGGGACAAGAGCGAGACTTCATCTCAAAATAAATAAATGAAAAATAAATGCATATGTATAGGACAGATTCTTGCTAGGATAAGAAAAAAACATCTTGTTCCTTATAACAACTAGCACCACTTTTTTTTTTTTTGTTTTTTTTTGAGACAGAGTCTCTGTCCCTAGGCCTGGAGTACAGTGGTGCGATCTTGGCTCACTGCAACCTCCACCTCCCGGGTTCAAGCCATTCTCTTGCCTCAGCCTCCTGAGTAGCTGGCTCAGTCAGCGAGTGTGACCAA